ATATCTCCCCTCCTCTCCCCATATCTCCCCATATCTCCCCCCCCCTCCCCTGCAGGCGGCCAGGCTGCACAAGGCGATCGTGGCGGCGGCGTGGCACGTCACTGTCCTGCGCGACTCGCCCGCGCCGAGCGAGACGCCGCCGGTGCTCGCCTCCGCCGCGGCGCCGCCCAAGAAGAAGAGGCAGCGCGTCAAGACGGGCGGCCAGGCTGCCGCGCGGAAGCGGCAGCGCGCCGCCGGCGCGGGTGGGCCGAGCAGCGCTGCGAGCGTCGAGGAGGCAAGCGACGACGAGGAGGAGCCTCCGCTGCCGGTGGTGCACGCGACCTTTGCAGCTGCCGCGGAGGGCACGCCGGCGGTCTCCACCGCGGCCAGCCCTCTCACGGCGCCATGAGGCGGTGAACGCCAGTCTCTTTTTAGTGCGTCCCCGGATGGGTTGTCCTTGACGTCTGGACTCCGGGTATGCGTATTTTGCCGCGATACAGCGCGGCGGAGATCGATACTGCGGGCGTTAATCCTCGCCTTAGAACCCGTCTATAAAGTACGGCTTATAGTCAGACACTGTCATATACGCGGGCTCTAAAGTACCGTGTACAAGTTTCTCCGAGAGCGGCCAGTTATTCACACCTGCCCTGCCCGGCAGTGTGCTTTGGGCCGGGCAGGGCAGTGTGGGTTTCACACCCGGGGCAGGTAGGGGATCGGGCAGGGCAGGTGTGCGGCAGTGTGCGGGCAGGGCACAGTACGGCAGGCAGGGCAGGGCAGTTGGGGTCATTCATAATTGCAGGGCAGAGATTCGGGATCTCAGGTGGTGAAAAAAAGGGGAGATAATTGCTGTGAACATGAACATGGAATTTGAATAACAATCTCAATGAGATGTGTGAAGAGGACGGCCGATCGACCAAACACATGCGCGAGCTGGCGAGCTCATCTGCATCTCAATCAAATCTCAGGGGGGCGCCGTGTGTATCCTTGATGCGTGACACTGCACTACGACTACTCGTGGTCTGTTAAAAAATCAGATCAAATCGCTGCCGGTGCGGCGGCGGCCGGTGCGGGGGCGGTCGCGCCAGCCGCCGCCGGCGTGCCGCCGGACAGCGTGTTGAAGCTGTTGCCCGTCGTCTGGCTGAGCGCGCCGAACTTGTTGGCCGTCGCGGCGCCGTCGCCCTCCTCGTGATCCTCTTCGAACTCAGCCCCGAGAAAAGACCCACGAATGGGCCTCGAGGCTCGCAGCGCACGCAGCCGATGCTGCGCAGGAGCAGGAGCTCTGGTCGGCGGCGGCGGCTCCCGAAAACGCGTTCGTGCCCATCAAGGACGTGTGCGCGCGAGAGTGGGATCTCGGGAAGAAGATTTTCGTGATGCGGGCGGTTGCGCTGAACTGGTCAGGGCGCGGCGCGCGCGTCGACATCGACGACGACCAGCTCACAAACTACAAGTCGTTCCTCACCAAGAAGGAGGGCTACTTGCGCGGCGTGACGCCGACGGGCGCGAAGAGGAAGCCGAAGCGCCTCCTCACGTGTCGCCGACCTAATCTACAGGCGCGGCCCAGTCTACACGACATGGCCATTTGCCGCGCGCAGCGCGCCGACTTCGCCGCCAAGCTCGCCAAGGCGAAGAAGCGCGCGGAGCGTAAGCGGGCTGATGCGCGCAAGTGGTGCTGCTGCGCTGCTGGGGCACAACTAAGTCACATCTGCTTTCTATTTTCATTACGGCTTTAATTTGCATTACACACATGACATCTCCCTCCGGACGACACATACATGCATACAATCACGTGTAGTGTGGCGAGGCCCGTGCCTTTAAAGTTAGACGGACACGCAACTCGCATACGTCCCATGCAAGAACACCGCGCCGCTGCCCCGGTGGTCGCCAGTGGGTGTTTTTGCCACTGAGTTCTGGCGCCGTGGACTTACGCCTGTGAAGGGCTATCATTGCGGGTTAGAGAGAGTCCCCATGCATTCCGTTGCGCCGCCAGATCGTGCTCGTTACTTTCTGCGCTGCATTACCGCTTACCTTGCCCAGTAGTCCGGGAATCCTCGCTGCCACGGTGGGTCGCCAGTGGGTGTTTTTGCCACTGAGTTCTGGCGCCGTGGACTCTTAGGCCTGTGAAGGGCTCTCGTATCGTCTTACCTTTTCCGGGGAGGGTACCCATTCGTTGCTGGTAGCGAGTCGACGCTGCTTGACCTGCCAGCGTCGACTCGCCCTGTTCGCAGATCTCCTCTGCTGGCGCCATGTGCCTGTCGCCGGCGCTGCAGAGCGGCGAGGACATCGTCAGCCACCAGCTCGAGCTGCAGTCGATCTTGCACGGTGTGCACCAGCGCTACGCCGGCCGCCAAGGGCGGTACAACAAGCACGACACGGCGCGGCTCCGCTACATCAAAAACACCGCCTTCCCGGGCCTGCGCTTCGGCAAGATGGTGCCGGAGCGAGACATGGCGATGCTCAGCCCTCTCCCACCGTCGCGGATCGCCCGTCACCTCGCCTCTCCGCAGGGTCATCTCTCGCGCCGTCTGCATCTCTCTGCCGGTCGCCAGCACCCGCCACCGACTGGCTGCACCGCCACTCGCGACGCGCCACCCTCGCTCACCAGCCTGCATACGCGCTACTCCCGCCGTGCCTTTGCTGCCACATGGATCGCATGTCACTGCAAACGCGCCCGCAGCCGCGCCGTAAAGGTCTGCCTTGCTGGCTGACGATCTCACTCTCCCGCTCCTATTGCATCTGCCTCCCGCCTCCCAGCTCACATTTGACACTGCAGTAGGTGCTCCTGTCGACGCTGCCGCCGCTGCCACCGCTACTGTCACCGCTCGTTTGATAATCGACGCCACGCTTAGCGGCAGCGAGATCCGAGGTTGAGTCAACTTGCCTGGTGCGCTCTTGCGCGTGCCTTCAAGATCCACAAGTCAATTTGTACCAGAAATCCAAAGGTGGTGCAAAATGGATATCTCAAGATTGGCCTTTATTTCGCGCACCTGCTCTCCGCCGCCGCCGCTTACCTGCTGGCACGCCACCGCCCCGCGTCGCTAACTCAAGCCTCCCTGCTGCATCTTGCCACCCCTGCCACATGACTCGACCGCCGTCGCTGCTACCGCCCTCCCCGCCGCCCTCGAAGGCGCCACCAGCATTACGGCCGCCTTCATATCTCATTGATGCTGCCACCAACGCCACTTCCTCGATTCTGTGCCGCTGCAGCGGCGAGGCGCCGTCGCCACGATCGCCGCCAGCGCTGCTGATAGCCTCGGAGCGTCGCCGTGGCCGCGTTCTGGTCTGCCCACGCTTCCCTAAAACGTCTAGGACGAGCTCAGAGGCTAAGGGCGCATCATGTGGGACCATCTAGCTCTACTGGGTCCGCGACGGTGGTCGGCGCACCCCCGTCTCGAACGTGTGTGCTCTCTGTCTGTCTGTCTGTTGTTTCGGCTAAGTCGTTTTGTACCGGATTTCAATGTTAGTGGCAAAACCGCGGAGCCGAAAATGGCGTTTTATTTCGCGCACCTGCTGTCCGCCGCCTGCGGCGGCGCTCCGCGCCGCTTGGGGCGCCTGCGGCGCCCCTGGGCGCGCTGCGCGCGCCTGTTTTGGGGGGGCTACCAGCACCGAAAAAGTGCCCCTTTTCCAGTAGCCTGGGGCCGCGCACTCGTTTTCCCTGCGCGTATGCCGGACTCGCACCGATTGTTGGTTCGCTACTGTCTTCGGCCCCAGGGTCGTTCGCTATCGTCTTAATACACATTTGCGCGGGCCTTGCTTGGTTGTGCTCGCGTTGCACTAGGAAGGGGCAACCAGTATGTGGTGTGAAAACCCCTATTTGGTGCGACGGCGCAGAGTGCGCCGAATCGGCGCAGAAATCGGCGCACTTCTGCGCCGGCGCCGGCGCAGATCTGCGCCGGCGCCGGCGCACTTTTGCGCCGGTGCCGGCGCACTTTGCGCCGCCGGCGCACTTTGCGCCGCCGGCGCACTTTGCGCCGGCCGGCGCACTTTTTGCACCACATAGGGGTTGCCACCACACTGGTGCGCACTCGCTCTCTGCCGCTGCCAACGATTGAGCCCCGCCCACGTGGCGCACATTGCTCGGACCGCAGTCACTGGAGTCGGCGCCGCCGCCTCTGCTTGTTTTCCGCGGACCGAAACGCCGCCGACGAGGACACTCGCATGACGAGGACACTCGCCGACGACAGCGGCGCCTGAGGGCGTGGGCTGCACGGCCCTTCGGGGCGGCCCGCGGGGCAACGGGAGGGAGCTCTCCCGCCGTCGTGGCGCACTACATGTTCCGGCCTCTCTACAGTCGCCTTTTGGCATCTCCTCTCGCCGCCGAGTTAGACCCCGCCGCACCGACATCACCGCCAGCGCCCTTCCCAAGCACCTTCCCGGCGGGCAGCGCTCCGTAGCGGCGCTGGCGGCCCCTGCGAGCCGGCCGTCACCGCGAGTGCGTACTCGAAGGCGCGCGCGTCCCCTCCCTCCCCGGCCCGCCGCGTCCCTCTGACCACCCCTCCGCCCTCCCCCTCCCGGGCCAGGCGTGCCTCGGGGGCGTACAAAATGGGCGCGGAGCGCATACCCGGCGACGGTCTCTCTTGTGCCTGAGCGCTGCCCCCCTCTCGGGCGCTGCGAGCTGCGTCATGCGCGTCCCTTCCGCCGCTCGGCCGCGCCCCTGCCCGACTCACCCTCCGACTCGGCCGCAAGACCATAGCACCGGCACTGCTGGCGACACAGGACGACCGCCAAGAGCGCTGCACCAACCCCCCCTGGGGGGGGGGGCAGCGGCCCTCAAGCAGTAGCACGGCTACCGTGTGAAAGTGTGACACCCCAAAACCGTAAATAGCACGACAAAATACGTACTGGCTGGTGGATCACCATGGAGCGATCATGCACATGCGATATATGCCTTATGCGTCATGGACGATGGACGGCAGAGCTCTCTCGTCTCTCACGGAGACACAGGGACGTACACGCTAGCGTCGTGGTACACCCCTCACTAGACAGCGGTGCCGCGGTGGAGGCACCCGCGGGCCTCTCCGCCCCTTGGGCGGGAGGCGGCGGCTGCTGCGGCGGCGGCGGCTGCTGCGGCGTCGGCGGCGGCGTCGGCGGCGGCGGCGACGGCGGCGGCGGCGGTGGCGGAGGGCTCCAGGAGGGGTGCCCGCGTGGTTGGGTTGGTCGGATGGCTTTTTGCCGCGCAGAGAGGCGCTGCAGATCGGCCAGCGAGAGACTCATGAGCGTCTGGGTTGAGCGTGTGGGGCCCCAAATCTGCGCCGGCGGCGCACATCTGCGCCGGCCGGCGCAGAGTGCGCCGGCGGCACCAACCTCACGTCGCAGAGTGCGCCGGCGGCGCAAAGTGCGCCGTTTGGCGGCGCAGATCTGCGCCGGCGCCGGCGCAGATCTGCGCCGGCACCGGCGCAGAAGTGCGCCGGATCCGGCGCAGAAAACGGCGCACTTTTGCCCGCACCACATACGCGTTTTGCATGGTTTTACGCGCCCCACCGCCGGCCCAGACCGCCGCCCGGCCCGCCCGTCCGCCCGCCGCCTACGGTGCCCACCCCGCGCCCCCGGAGCCCGAAAACGGGGCGCCGCGAGCTCGCAACGCCGAGTTTTCCTCGAAATCACACCACATACTGGTTGCCCCTTCCTAGCATTCGTCCTGGATGAGCAGCGCAATTGCCTCAGAGGCAACTGGCGCACCCGCCACAATACCCAGGAAGTTCCTCACAAAGTTTCGGCCAGTTTCCTTTGTATTCCGTCGGGAATTCGACGGCGGGTTGACAAAACGAATCGCATTTGCCGACGAAGGGGCGTGACGAGATGCTCTTGCAACGCGCGATGGCCGGCGGGTTGTTCTTTTGGCCTTTGGGTTGCGCCGCGAGACAGAGGCGTCGCAGCGCTCACGTAAGTGATGGCGTTCTCGCCTTCGGCTCGAACACAAGCTGATAGAGCGATTGCATGATCGGCACCAGGAACCTCGCCGAATGCGGCATATGGGCTTTGAGCCGGTCCGCGTTTGCCGGCTCTGTCCCATCGAGCGAGCGGCGGGACCTGCGTCACCGCAGACATGCTCAGACGAGTGTGAGTGTGCACAATCACCTCGCCGGTGTGAGTGTGCGCAATCACCTCGCAATGCCCCGTCGCTCCAGCACCCTTCGCAGCGTCATACACGGTTGGCGACCCCTTCTGCAAAAAGGCTGCGTCCACGCCCATCGTGACGAACCCGCCATTCATCACGATGCTGCACGCCTTGTTCAGGTTCTTCTCACGCTCCGCCAACGAATGACCCCGCAGGCTGTAATGCTTCTTGCAACAAAACTCATCATCGTTGCACTCCCCGTCGTTGAAGATAAGTTTGCAGTACCGCACAGTACGAAATTGGTTCGCCCCATCATTCAATTTGGCCACTTCATTATCTGTAGGTTTCGCCGGCAAGTCTTGCACGTACTGCGGCTCTGCCAGGTTCGCCATGGGAAAGAGAGAATTCTCCCCCCAAGGACCTGTCAGCGCGTACGTTGTGGGCTTGATGTGTTCGCATGTTCTTGGACCTTTCCACGGCTTCGCGTACGTTGTGGGGTTTTTTTGGTGCAGTTGCTCCCGCAATTTGAACTCTTCCTCAGTGTAACCCAGAACGAGCGAAAGAGCGCCTCCAGAAAGAGGTGCGGAAGTGCCATACCGGTCTCGGAAGCGATCTCGGGCAATCTCGGGGCTTAATAATTAATTAAGCTCATTGACGAAACTTGATGGGGACAATCTCGGGCAATCTCGGGTGGCGCATCAGAACGAGCGAAAGAGCGCCTCCAGAAAGAGGTGCGGAAGTGCCATACCGGTCTCGGAAGCGGTCTCGGGGCTTAATAATTAATTAAGCTCATTGACGAAACTTGATGGGGACAATCTCGGGCAATCTCGGGTGGCGCATCAGAACGAGCGAAAGAGCGCCTCCAGAAAGAGGTGCGGAAGTGCCATACCGGTCTCGGAAGCGATCTCGGGCAATCTCGGGGCTTAATTAAGTAATTGACGAAATCTCGGGGATCTCGTCAATTTAGTCAACTCGTGGCGCAATGATGCCCCAGAGCATTTCCACGAATTTCGTTCAAAGTTCCGTCAATTATGTTAATTGACGAAATCTCGGCTCAATCTCGCCAATCTCGGCAATCTCCTGCTCTGATTGCTGCACATCGTGTTCCGGGCACCAGTGCTGCTTCTCTCTGCTTTGAGAGCGTCTTTGAGGGGGGGAATTGAGTGGAAGGGGGGCTCAAGAGGGCCGCACCTACTCGCAGCGCACGCAGCTTGAGGCCCGGCGCCAAGGAAACCGCGGCACACCCGCCTCGCCCACGTTGTTTTAGATCTGCGAGGGCGCAGGCGGCAGCGAGCGAGCGTCAGCAGCATAAGATGGGACGAGCATAGCGCGGGCTCGTTTTGGGGGTCGCGGGGGCGCATTAGGCATGAAGGCGACCCGCGGCCGCGCGCTCAGCAGCGCTCAGACCGGCAATCCGATTGTGCCAGATTCGCCTCGATCCTCGGAGCGAGCCGCTCGCGCGGCGGCGGTCGCAGCACGGCGTGCAGCCGGGCACGGGCTCGCTGCAGTGGTGGTTGTGGGGCGAGGCGAGAGGGCCCGCGCGGGGGCAGCTCTCATCTCGCGCTGCGTCGCGCCGGGCGAGGGGCGAGGCGAGAGGCAACCATGGCAAAGGCACCTGCAATCGGGAGATGCCGTGTCTCGGATAAACCTGATCGACCAGCCGGGAGGTGGACGAGCAAAGGTTGGGACGAGCAAAGGTTGGGACGAGCAAAGGTTGGGACGAGCAAAGGTTGGGACGAGCAAAGGTTGGGACGAGCAAAGGTTGGGAGCCGAGCAAAGGTTGGGAGCCTTTGCGGAGAAGGCGACAGGTGCCTTGCCTGCCTGGGAATGGTGAGGGTGTGATGTGTGTTTGCGAATGGTGAGGGCGAAGCTGCGCGGTGCGCTGTGCTCGGGCGGTCGTCTTGCTTGGCTTGCCACGGGTGGGAGAGTGCGTGGGCACAGTGATCGAGACGCGTGCCTGCCGATTGCGCTCCTCCTCGTAGTCGGAGAGCGTCTTCGCCCTGACGGACGGCCATCGCCGCGCGCGCCTCCTCCGGCTCGTCGGGGAAGGCGCGCGCCGCGAGGAGCTGGAAGAAGTTGCAGACGGTCTGCGGCGTGGCGGAGTGAGGAGGGTAGCGTGAGGGCGCAGCGGAGGAGAGCTCGAGGCGGGAGGGGGCGCGCGGCGAGAGTCGAGGTTGGCGTGGAAACAGCGAGGGCCCAACGAACGGGCGATGGCGGGGTAGAGCTGCCTGGTACCACCGCTCCGGCTCCGGCCAGTCGGGGGTGTCGGTGGACGCAATCTCCCAGAAGACGTTGCCGTCCTGAGCGCGTCACATCGCCACGAGCTGGTGAGGAGCGCGCACGGCGCGGGCGGGGAGTTGCGTCGCCCTGCCGAACCTCGAGGACGTCCTGCCACGAGAGAAGGCCCTCGTCCAGGAGAAGGCTGACCTTGCGCTTGATCTTGACCGGAAGGATGTGCTTCCAAAGGCAGCGGTTCTCCTGGGGCGGTGCAGCGGTCGGGAACGGGATTTTTGAAGCTGAGCGGCGATGCATCCACAACTGCTGCGTTCGAATTTGGGCGCACCAGCGCTTGCTCATCGGGAATCTTTGCAAGTTCGACCACTGCGCTGTCGGACTCGTGGTCGAAGGAGGCGGCGTCCCAGATCTGCGCAGACGGTTCGCGATGAGGCGCTCTGAGCGGGGGCGTGCGCGGCTGTACAGAGGGCCTCGACCAGGATTCTCCACGGTCAGACCACTCTCATCCCTACCACAGAACGACTCCGACGCAAGCTCTCTCCCACAATCTCTCGCACAATCTCTCGAACCCAGTGAGCGCGGCAGTGATGACTGCCCCATCCTCTCCGAAGATTCGTTCACCGGCTTCTCCGACTGCGCTGAGTGGTAGGGCTAGAAATCGCGCCTGCTTTTCCCTTTTCTCCCAGTAAGCTAAAAGTGCGTACAACTGCACGTGTGCGTGTGTGCAAGGATATGTACCAGCTCACAGCAGGGCCGTTTGATCACGATTGTTACACGGCGTGAAAAATCAAGTATTTGTGAGATACCCCGGACTACCCTGTCGCTCGAACTCTGCGAGAATCGAGAAAGCTAGGAGTAGGAAGGGGCAACCAGTATGTGGTGTGATTTCGAGGAAAACTCGGCGTTGCGAGCTCGCGGCGCCCCGTTTTCGGGCTCCGGGGGCGCGGGGTGGGCACCGTAGGCGGCGGGCGGACGGGCGGGCCGGGCGGCGGTCTGGGCCGGCGGTGGGGCGCGTAAAACCATGCAAAACGCGTATGTGGTGCGGGCAAAAGTGTGCCGTTTTCTGCGCCGGCAATGGCGCAGATCTGCCGGAGGTTCGAGAGCGACTACTCGCCGCCTGGGTCGCTCGGGGCGCGCGGCTCCGTCGAGGACCGGGCGCGCCCCTTACCCGGCGCGGCGTAGGTCCCACTCTGACGCATAGAGGGGAGGCACGGTCGGCAGCCCAACCCATCAACCACTTTCATTTTCTGGTGCTTCGCCCCGTGCAACAGCCGGTCCGGCAGGCTGCCCCCAAGGCCCCCCGGGCCGCTGCGGGTTTGGGAGTTATGCTTAGGCACAGCTTCGGCGATGGCAGCCCCTCTCTGGGGTGTTGCATAGGCGGGGAGTCTCCCCCGCTGGTCTCCTCCTTCCCATTTTTTCTTTTCTTTTTGAGAGCAGAACGCCGGGTTTGTCTTTTAAGGGCGTGTCGGGGGTGTGTCAGGAGCGTCAGTGAGGGGCGGCGGAGGACGGGGGTGCGCAAGGTCGGTGGCTCAACCATTCGTTGGCTCGTCGGGGTTGGAGAAGGGGAAGGGAAGTCTGGGCGGTCGGCGAGGGGGTCATAGCAAACAGTGCGTACGGGGTAGCCGGCGGACGCCTGTATGCCATGCACGCGGACCACGCTTGCGTGGATACGTGGCTGGCAGGCTGACCCGTGTGCGGGGTAACCCGCGCACGGGGAAGCTTCACGGGTTCGAGCCGTCAAACATTGAGCAGCGGAGGTGTGCCGAGGGGGACCGGGAGGCGGTAAGCCGTCGTCGCCCGGCGCTGCATGCAGCACCGTGGCGATGGCGCTAAGAGGTCCTCTTTCCGCC